ATGCATGCATTGCCCCAGTTCTTACGCATACACGATTATTTTGAAACTGTCATCAACTTCCAGGCAGTTTAGTGGTGAGGCTGGTCTTTTTACCTTTTGAAGAAAGTTCATATTCAACATTTGCAAGGTCTGCTTCAGGTTCTATTTCTCTCTTCTTCTCTTGATGTTCGGACCAAGAATATCAGTGCATCTTTCTCTGATTTTTTTTCTTTTGTATTTACTTCTAGACTGGTACAATTTAGCCTTTCTGTCTTGGAAAAAATAGGTTTAAAATTCAGGTAGGGATCAATAGGTGGGAAAATTCTGGAAATGGATGGGGGAGGGATTAGCATCTTCACTTTCGGTCATATCTGTTTTATGCCGATTTTTACTTTTTATGCACACTTCTGTGCGCACATACACAGTTTGCTGTTTTGGCGGGTGATACAACTGCTGTCAAATTATTTTTATTTTCACAGTTTGTATCCTGTCTATCATTCCTGACAGGGAAATACCCAGATAAAAGCAAGAAATTAGGAAAATGCTTGATGGAATCACTGAAGCTAGTTTTGTTGATTGGTATGTCCTAATTATTTTATCCTATATTGTATGTTCTGTTTATCTTATTCCATATTGTTTTCCTGGATTACATGATTATTTAGTCCCTATTATATTCCGTCATAGCAAAAAATATTTTTTTTTTTTCTGGGGTGGGGGTTGTATATCGTAGGGTTTCACCTCAAACCTCTACCTATAATTCATCCCATTCTTATCACTTAAAGTAGTCTTAGGTTGCTAGTCCCGACAATATCTTTTGGTCTTGTAGAAGAGAACCTCCAAAAATTTGCTATGGATGTTGAGTGGAACTGAACTGCAAGGCTCAGATAAACAAGCTCTGAAAGAAATATGGATATCAAGTTTTCCTCAGAAAGATTGACACAGGAGTTAAAGATTATCTTGACTATGTAAATTAATGCATATCAATAATAGATGCTTCCTTGCCTGATGGGACTCGTCTGATATATGTTTTAAATACCTTTCTCAGAGGTAAAAATAAAGAGGCTTAAACCTTGCTATCTATCTAATTTAATTCCCTCCTCCCAAACAAGGAATTCGGGAGTAAAGAAAAAAGGAAAGTCAGACTATCCATCTGACTTTGGGTGACGCTTCCCTTCAACTAGATCTTGCTTGCTCAGATCCCTAACTATGTTTTATGGGGAAGAGCATTCCATAGTAAACTGACGGATGTGTGGTCTACTAATGACAGCCTATATTAGTATATAATTTGATTGAAAGTCAATTCATTGATCATCTTCAAGGTATGCAATTTAGGGCATCTTGAATTTTTCTAAGGCCTTCAAATGATTTTTCTGAAGTTTTCCATACTATTGCTTTCTGTCCAACGTTAATAGTCACAACGATGCAAAGCTGCACAAATATGTTTCAGTGTTCTGACAATTTTCTTTCCCTCTTGTCAAACTTCATGAGAGCCATATACATTCTGCACAGATGTGGCTATTAGGGTTGCGTGAGTAGTTGTATTTCATATTTTTCCTAGTGAATAAAGATTTGAACTGTATGTTTTTGCCTTCAATTACATATTCTAGTGATGTTGATGTCAATAATTAGCTGCGCTTTGCAGGTCTTGTTTTTGTGGCATTTGGTCCGAGTTATTCTTATTCGCTTATTAGATTGCTTTATGGTGGAAAATGGAGTGACGGAGAAGCATCAACTGCCCTCCAGTATTATTGTATTTATGTCATTCTTTTGGCAATGAATGGTTAGTGAGTTACATTATCTCATTGTTGCTCAGTTTTTGCATTCCTAAATCGAATTCTTTATTATTGTTCACCTATTAATTGTTTATATTCATTGAGGCATTGGTATGTATCTACTCTTTTAGACTTGGTAGTATTGTGTCCAACAATGTTGATTGTGTTTTTCTAATTTGCTTCAGGAACCTCTGAAGCCTTCTTACACGCCGTTGCATCAGAGAGCCAACTCAAACGTTCAAATGATTCATTACTCGTGTTCTCCTTGATCTATATAATTTTGAATGTTGTACTCATAAGATTAGCTGGGGCTGTCGGCTTGATCCTGGCAAATTCCATGAGTATCCTTTCTACATTATCATTAGGTTTTGAGGAAAATTTTAAAAAAAAAAAAAAAATTGGGATAGAATATAAAGGTGGTGTTGAAGGAAAGTGAGGCCCTTGATACAAAATAAATAAATAAATAAAAATATTATTATAAAATAGTAATAAAAGGGGGGGAAATGAAAGTGAAGGCAGCAAAATTAGGTTTGAGCAATATGCAAGATATTAACATATGTATTGATTAACTTAAAACTGATATGATTACTATTTCGACAAAGAATAGCATGCCAATAAGACGGCTTTCTAGCTCTTTTTATGTTGATCTTTTCGCAATGCTGTGATATATACTTGATTCTCGTTTGATATAGCAGCTTTTGTGGAAAAGAAAGAAAAAATTATCTTTCATTCCTTGACTTGATTAAAGATATGGCCTTGAGGATTTTATACTCTGCAATTTTCATAAAGCATTATTTCCAGGTATGGCTTTGATTTTGAGACCTCATTCTGATATACTGGCGCTTATGGCATTCTTATAATTGTATTTTTAAAATTTGTTGTCCCCAGGGATCTTCCTCATTTTCTTTCCATAGCTGCCTGCCATCAGGATGGACTATTTTGTTGCTTTCAGGCATAATCACGATCATTTCAGAGAAAATCTTTCTAGACCGTGAAAATTTCTGGCCAACTTTTGCCATCCATTTCTCCATTGGGCTGGCTTGCTTTTGCGTTTCATCTTATGTGATGTATATATTCTTGCTTCCTTTTGGATTGATTTATTTAGATTTTTGAGATGGGAAAATTGACATGCAAGTCCCTATAGTTTCACATCATTGTTAGTCGGGTCCATGTAGGTTCTTTTTTATTTTTACCAAGTCCTTGCAGTTTCATCTTATTTTAATCAGGTCCTTGTAGTCTTCTTTTCTTCTTTCTATGTCTCTGTAGTTTTACATTATTTTTAATCAGGTTCTTGTAGTTTTAGAGATCTGGTAAAAGGGGGGAAAACTCGAAGAACTTGATTAAAAATCACATGAAAGCATAAGGATCTAATAAAAAGAAAAAAAATTATGGGCTCTGATTAAAATCAAATGAAACGATAAAACCTCAAGGAAGAAAAAGGGGGGGCTACAAAGACCTGATTAAAAATATAGGGATTTGGAAATTAAATATCTCTTTAACATATTTAGTTGAATGCAATCTTTTGTTCATGATTCTGTCTTCTCGGCGTATTGATATATTCTTGTTATTTCAGCTATCGCAGGGAAAAACCTTTCGTCAGAAGAATAATTCGCTTTCGAGATCACTCAGACTGAACGCGCTTGCAAGTTTAGATGTAAGGTTAACTTTTGACCTCTCCAAAACAATTGACTTGGCTTCTTTTGGTCAGAACAATGAAGAATTTTTTTTTATTTTATTTTTTTGTACCATGTTTATCGTTAATTACTCAATACCCAATGGTTTATGTATGTTTCTACTTTTATTGGGTCATAATGGCAATTTTTTTGAATCATTGAAAAAATATCTTTTTCATTTTATTTCTTGTTCCATATGTCTAGTGTGTTCTAAACAGCCGTCAATTTTCTTTGCTTTCTTCGCGTACAAGACAATAGCAGCTTCCTCTGGGTCACCATTTCTGCATAAGATGATAATATCTCATTAGCATGCAGGAACACACACACACATATTGGAACCTCAGAAGTAATTCAAAGGTATTGAGTTAGAGTTTGAAAGAAACAGGTGTAAAATGGAGCCCCACCCGTATATATTGGATCCTACAAGAGTGGAACCTGCTTTTGTTTTCCTTTTTCATTCAGCCTTTTGTTTTCTTTTTTTCCCCCAGACCAACTTCATAAAACATCTCTTAAAAAAACGATTATATGCATTTAGAAATTCATGAATTTTAATCGGTTAAAAATTAAAATAAAAAAAAAAGATGTTTAGCTTTATTGAATCTGCCGGAGTTCTTGGTTTGTATACAAGTTTATAGGAAACCTGTTGTGTATTCGGACTTTTATTCTTTCTTCTTCTTTTTAATACATATAGGTATTTTTTTACTGCAGATACTCCTATTCGAAGTATAATTGGATATTAAATGTGGGTATCTTTCCTTGCAAGGATAAAGTTTTGAGGAACTAGCTCATTCTACTAAGTCTAACTCATGTGGGTTCTATTTTTTTTTTTGGTAAGAGTGAGAGAGCTTATTATCTTAATTAATTAATGGCTTGTTGGTATTATTAGTACTATTTTAGTATATTAGCATTCTACTTTGTAAAACCAATTTGCTTTCTAATCCAAAAACATTTTAGTATCTTAGACTTCTTTAACGTAAAGATACATCTTTAATCCTCTAATTTTATTTAAGATTTCAATTTGATTTTAAAATGCATTTTTATTTTTAATTCTTTAATCTGACAATATTAGTCTGAAATAATAATTTTTTATAATAATCATTGTTATTCTTTTAAAAATTAATATGTCAACCTTCCAAAATATTCTAACATTTAAAATTTTAACGTTTTAGCCTTTTTTTTCCTTACTACTGTTAGAATTAAAGAACCAAAACTGTTTTATAAAATTAAAAAAATTAAATTTAAAAAAAAATATTGAATGGAAAAATGAAACGCTTGCTACTTTGATAAACCATCATACCATGCATGTAACATTGAACAAACTATCATTCATCAAAAATTCTAAATAATAATATGTTAGGCATCTGATTCATCCTTTATATGCCTAATTTAAGATTTATGAAGTCTGGAACAAGTCTACTCAAGACTAATAAAAAATTGTTTGAAAAAAAACCTTTTTTTAACTAAAAAATAAATATTCCTCTGATGTTAAATATAAGACTTTTTTATAGTATATTTTATACTATAAAAAAGATATTATATTTAGAACCGGAAGAGTATAAATAGAACCATATGGTCGTTTCCAATACATAAAATTATACTTATTTTGTGGCCAATAATTTTTCTACACAGTAAAGCGAAATTTCCAGCCTAAATATTTCTTGATGTCTCTTGCCACTCATTGGATTCCTCCCGTTGATGTATTTGATTTGAAGTTGTCAAAACTTCATGTGCCTGCAAATAAAGTCCTGTATATTCAAATAAAAAATCAAAGCAAGCTCCGAGTCAACAAAACATGAATTTCTATTTATGCACACAAATTTGGATAAGCTTCTCTTTATTATCTTTCCCATCCAATTCTCTTCCACTCCCTAGTCCAACCATTGAATCGAAATTTGAAAACTTCATATTTAATATTTTATAGAATTATTCTTAAAATGTTAAATTATAAAATAAGTAAGACAGGTTAGAATTACACTAAAAGAAAGAAGAAAAATATTTTATAAAATGTTAAATTTAATCCATCCAAAATTTGATATAATGAGTGGTATGAGAAGAGGAGAGGAAGTGAAGGGAAATGGTTCCGAGTATGAGTTTTACGTGTAAATTAGAAGGTTTTTCAATTAATATACTTTTTATGGATCAGAACTACATGGTCATTCATATTCTCCATCCACATAATTATGTCTTGTAGCAAACACCTAAAGAACATCACCAGATTCTTACCATTTATTTGTCAACCACAAGTAGCTATCAAGGCCAAACCAAGTAATATCAACCAATACATGACAATAATACAAGTAGGAAAGCACACCCACCTCAAAGTCGCAGTTTGAGCCATTCGATCGACAATATGAATTAGTGACTATAATTCCCATTCTTATTCCAAAACTCCAGATGTTGATGGCAATGCTGCATCATCCCGATATCCTTCACGTAACGAAGTGCCACTTTTTCCCAACGTTCGTTATGATTGATATGAATTTAGGTAGGATTATCCCAAAGAATGAAAGATAGAGTCCCTGTAAAATCAAAGCATCAAACACGGACAAACCTACAAAACTTCCTTTGCCTCTTTAGAAGAACAAACAATAATGATCATCATTTTGAAGAATAAATGTGCAATTCCATCTCAACTTTAATTCAGTGATGTCAAATTTATATAGAAAATTAGTATTTAGCAGAGATCAATATGTGGGTTGATGTCGCAGATTCCAATTCCAGGATAAATGTTTACTTGAGTACAAGTCATCATCGATCCATTGCCTAGAAATTTGAAATGCTTGCTTTGGTTTAGCTGAAAGTTAACCCACAGAAAGCCATCATTTTAACCAGAGAAGAAAAGAAAAGAAAGACATCAACCAGCAGGAAAAGTTATCATCGAATGGAGGAGTTACAGACAACTGCGAAAGGTCCAGCAACCAAATACTTCAACAGCAATTATCTGTTCCTTTCACTTTCCTAAGCAATCAATTGTATTATTAACTCAAAATCTCACTAGTTATAACCGCAATTGTGCACAGTGGCTGAACAAAAATACAGCAATATGTTTTTTGTGTAATTTGTTAGCGATCCCTTGAGATAAACCAGTAAGCTTTTAGCACTCTTCCATCAATTTGTAAGTTTAGTCCAAGAAAATTCTCGAGCTTAAGGCATATGATGCTCACCACATTTTATGAGGAACTACAGTTTCACGTCGTGCTCTCTCTCCAGTAAGTTCACTGTTCACTGTTCTAATATCGTCATGAACATGTTCCAAACGAGAACAAGATTTCAAAGCAATCTGAGCAGCAGCATAGTGACACCTGAACTGATTTTTATCCACTGGTACCATCTGCATGAATCTGGAATTGCTGCATTCCAAAAATGACCAAAATGTCACTCCACGCAAACAAGAACCGACAAATCCAAAAAATGCCAGAGTGCTTAAAGCTACTAGGTGTGGACAAGCAGTGAAGTTTGTCAGTAGTTAGCAGGACATCTTACGTTCAAACTTTTGATCAACAACGTAATCCACGAAAGCCAGAAATGCTTGTATCTAAAACATGGGATCAGTAAACTCCATTGTTCTCACCAAATCCAGCAATTTGATTAACTATTATTGTCGCAAGTTCAAAAATAAAGGGCAGAGATCAGTGTCTAGATTAAGAAAAATTTGAACTTTGGGCAACAAATAAGCTTCCGATCAATTTAAAAAGCACAACTTTCAATGTTGAAATTTCCAAACCAATACAGCAAAATGGAGACTAGAATTGAGGAAAACGACACTATATGTTATTACTACTCTGTTGTGGTTCTATTACGACAGATTCCAATATCAAGTTGTTCTCCACAGTAATCATAATTATCCAAAATCAAACTAAGCTTGAGTTCAGTATCTTCAAAAGAAAATAACTGGTCAAAGCCATGTCAAGTCACCGTCAATTGCAAATAATATATTTTCCCTTTTTTGAAATTCTGAATTGAAAAGTGTACCAAACACTAAGATTCAAAAACGAAGTGAAAATGTCTTGCAATATTTTCAAAGTACAACTGCAAGAAATAGCCCAACCAATAAAGTTTTTGGCTTTAAATTTTGTGAGCATGATAAGCGTTAACAGCTGACACACCAACAGCAAACTACAAAAGTGCGAGCTGCGGCACAGACCCAAAATAGGATGAAGTGCAAATAGCAGAATCAAAAAATTCTTCAGTTCTTGCTGAATTTTCGCCAATGTGTGCAGCAACAATTCAAGCACATAAAAGTCACCATATGCAGCAGATTGCATCATGCAATTATTGCACAATAATGATTACTATGATTAAAAAATCTAGAATAATTACCCCAAATGAGAGAATATGTAAACTTCTGGGCACAGTTTTCAGCAAAAGGATTGAAAAAGTGACAAGACTATTTCATCAAATAGAATCATATTGTGCAAGCAGTTTGCAGAGACACGTACCTAGAGCATTTGTTACTCATATGAGCCAAAACATGAGAAGCACATTTTAATTGAAGTCTGCTCCAGAAACCAAAAGAAGACTTTCAATCAAGCATAGCTTTCTTTTCCAAAGTGTGACTCCGCAATGTCTAAATCAATGGGCATAATACAGTATTTAGTGAAGATGACAGCACTGCTTACTCATTAACCAGTCCTGATAAAAGTTAAATGCCATGACTGGTTCTTCCAGTTTGCAGTATTTGTTAAAAAGAATCTGAACTGGAACATGATCACTCAATAAACCAGATTTCTGTATTTTGCCAAAAAGCTCTGCTGCCTCTTTTATGTTACCTCTAATGCAGTACCCTCTAATTAGTTCAGTGTAAGTGATCAAATCTGGCTCATATCTCATTTTGAGCATCTCATCAACTAATAGAAGTGCAACACTAAGGTTGCCTAAATTGCAAGCAGCACCAATCAACAAATTGTAAGTAACCACATCAGGATAGACACCATTTAAAACCATATCTTCCTTCAGAGAATAAGCGTCATAAAAGTTCCCAATCTTCACTTGCGCATTAATTAATACATTATAAGTAAATACAGTGGGCCGAACACCAAAAGCCAGCATCTGATCTTTCATAAAGAATGCATTGCTGAGATCTCCACATTTTCCATAACAGTCAATTACAAGGTTCCATGTTAAAGGCTTGGGCACCATTATATAATCCAACATAAATTGAAGCAGTTGTTTGGCTCTAACAGCATATCCATTCAAACAAAGGCCCTGTATCATAATATTATAGGATATTTGATCAGGAATAATTCCCATTTTAGACATAACCCCAAGAAGATAGCAAGCTTCATCAACCTTGCCTTCCTTGCAAAGGGCGCTGATAAGAGTATTGTAAGTAAACACATCAGGAAGCAAACCTTTCTTAATCATTTCACAAGCATATCCATAAGCAAGATTCATTTTTTGACCCATACAAAGTCCATGGATTAGAACATTGTAAGCAACAGCATCTACTTTTACATTCTTCTGAAGCATCTCATCCCAAAGACTAAGAGCTTGAACCATAGCTCCATTCTTAAAATGATAATCCATAAATATGGTAGAGGTAACTAAATCTGGTTTTCCTTCACCATCATCATCATTTAATATTTTTTCAAAAAGCATTTTAGATTCTTTCAAAAGGCCTTTCCCACAAAACGCATGCACAAGAATGTTACATGTTACCCTGTTTGGCTGAATACCAGCATAGGCCATGGTAGAAAACAGATGAAGAGCTTTATCTAAATTATTAGTGAGGCAATAACCCTTTATAAACGTGTTGAAGGTAGCACGGTTGGGAGAGGGGCCCAGTTCTAACATCTGTTTAATAAGCCAGTCTGCTTCGTCCATTAGACCCATTTTACACAGCCCATTCACCAGATGGTTGTGGGTAAATGCATCAGGAATAAAACCTTTCTGCACCATTTTGCTCCGAAGCCATAATGCTGCTCCCAATTTACCTTCCAAGCACAATATTCTGATGATGGTTGTGTGTTCAATGTAGTTAAGTTTACATGTATATCCTGCAAGATCTACTTTTGCCAAAGTTATGCATTTCCTGGAAAATCTCATGTAAGAAACAGACATGTCATTCATTCTGGAATTTATAACATCTTCAATCTAAACAATCATACACATACACAGAAAATAGGTATGCATATATGCGCGTCAGTAGTTGTCCAAGATTGCTGTCAGAAAACACTCCCTCTTCCACAGATTTAGAAGAGACAGCACAAAGAAGAAAGTAACGGGCAAAAACCCTCAAAAAACATTTAAAGAAAGTACTACCCAAAGAAATTGATATAAATTTATACTTTTAAATAAATGCAAAAAAAGAGATGAAACAAAAACCAAATAGTCCTGTTATATTGTTAGAAAGAACTACTTTGAAGTTGACCATGACACATATCTCTCAAATTCTCCAAAATTTATAATATCAAAGCTCACCTCATCTTCTGCAGACGCTCTAGACTGTCCTTTAGCATATTATCCAAAGCATTGAAAACAGCTCGTGGCGCATTCTTTTCACCAAAATTCCTCTCTCTTGACAGATTTTCAGCATCTAATTGGCACTCTCTTCCCAAATTTGACATCAAATCTTTGGTAAATGATGAATGCATATACTCTTCACAGAGAATCCTACATATAAATAATGAAAAGATCAAGATAATAGTGAGCCAGAAGTTGCATCCACAATCATAAGAAGTGTATGTAGTGTAAGAGGAGACAATCCAGAGAAGAAAAGGTGGAAGGTATGAAAAATATATTGATAACTATTCCTCTATTCTCCAAGTAACAAATTTATAGTTCAGATTTCTATCTCTTCCCTTTTACCATTTAGGAGATCAGCCAAGCCAAGTTGAATACCAATATGACAGTTTCTGTTTTCAGCATAACTTTCTCTACAGCTAAAAGTATAAAACCCTATCCATCACCTTACTTTTATGGCAAGATAACAGAGTAAAAGATAGACTATAGGGTTCCCCCACCTCCCCACCACACACACACACACACACAATAAATAAATAAATAAGGAAAAGAAAGGGAAAGGAAAGGAAAAAGAACAAGAAGAAAGGAGATAAACTAAATGAAATTACCTGCCACCTCTATCCTTCCCTGGTTGGGAGCAGAAAATGCCAGCAATGATCTGGCCAACATCATGCTTGATGCACTCAAACTGATTCAAAAATCTTAAGAAAGCAATATGGACATGCAGGAAATGTGACTCTCCAAAGGCAGCTAATAGCTGAGACAACCAAAACAAATTAATCAGCCACAATGCTGTACAAAATCAACATTTAGGGTGATATATCATCAATCTTTAGAAAGAGTTTCCACTCACTGCCATCCAGCTCACTCAAATTTGTTGGTTTCAATTTATATTAAAAAAATTGGAGCCATCTGCAAGTAAAAAAAATAAATAAATTTTCAGCCAGAGTTAAAAAGCCTCTGATTATCACATATATGGCAAAACACGTGAGACATGTGGCCAGCCAAGCACAATATAGAGATAACAATTGCTAAGATTAGTTTCATTTCAAAAATCAATTAAAAAAAACAAAGATTGATGCACAAAACAAATCTGATTACAATATCGGATCATTAACATTAAAAGTGCATTTGGCACTAGTCATCTGCCTAAGAGATTACAAGAAAATCATGAAAAATCAAAGGTGTCCAAAAACAAGTTCAAGATAAACTATTCGTGAACAATAAAACACGATAAGTTAATAACACAAATACTACAGAAAAGGCATACATGACTAAAATAATACATACTTACAGAAAGATGCATAGTTTTGTGCAGCATAAAATAAACTACACAGGTTGCATGGAGACACAATTAGATGAATAGGGATTCAAATCCTAAAGAGTGTGGGGTGGGGCAAATGGATGTGAAGGGATGTTTGTGTCTGGTACACAAGTTTCAACCTTTAAGCCTATGCTTCTTTATCGGACGAGGGAGCGCCGCCGCCGATGTCTGATCAGAACCGCTAGAAGCTATGACTCGATGAGTTCCTCCTGAACAAAGGCAGCGATAGGAAACCGGGGAGACGGTGCGTAAGACTGAGGAATTAGGGAGGGACTACAAGAGATCCGTGAAACTTGCGCAAGAGAAGGACGCCCTTGAAGAGGATGGCCGAACATGTGCGGCTGAAGACCGGAAAGGGAAGTTTAAAATGTAATCCAAAGCCTACCATGGATTTAAATTGAACTGCTTTAGTTTATGCCTCCGAGGAACGAACGAAAGAGAAGAATAAAAACTAAAAATGTATCGCCTCCGATGGAAAATCGCCAGACCCGAATTCTCACCTTTTTCTAAGTTTCAGAAACTTACTCGGATCTACAATGAGAGTAACCTTAGACCCTGATGGCTTCTCCTTATTGGCCGTAGGGCCAGCATTTCATAAAAGAGAAGGCAAAAACGGGCCTTGGGAGAAGGAGAAGCCTCCGGTAATAGAGGCTCGCTTGAATAATGTGCCAAGCAAGAAGGAAAACCAATCGGAAAAAAGACGACAGGGACAAAGAAAATCGACGACGATGAGGGCTCTACACTCCGTTCCCTACTCGTTATGTGCTATGGGCCGAACTGGGTTCGGGTGTACTTGGGTCCAACAGACCGAACATGGCTTGCCGTTGTCAACCCAGCCACTCGAATCCGGATATCCTTTCATAACCCAAGCACATTCATCATCGACGGAGAAACAGGGGAGGTAGCAAGTAGCAACTTTCGGACCTGTGAATGGTAGAGGGGAAATGCAGGGAGGGTTAAAGCTGAGCAATTTGTCACCGGAAAAAAAAAAAAAGCTGAGCAATTAAGGGTATGTTTGGATTGGAGTTGGGAAAAACTGACTTGTAGTCCAACTGACTTTTCTAACTGAAATTAGAGTAAAAGTCAATTATGATATGTTTGAATAGGTGCTTTTAAAAAGTTAGTTGAAAAATTAAAAGTTGTTTGGATGAATATAAAAGTTAGTTTAGTTGTGAAATGACTGAAAATGGCATATACTATATTGAATAATAGTGTTTGATATTTTTAATATGATAATTGTTAAAAAAATCTAAAAAATTATTATGATAAAATAAAAATTTATTTGTGAGATTATAAAATAAAAATATATGTCACCAAGAAAAATTTAAAAACACATTATAGATAATTAATTAAATATATATAATGGACAAACATGAACATAAATTAAAATTCATTTCATCTCTAATTAGAGTAATGAAATTACATAAGTAATTAGATCGTACTTAATAGACAAACATGAACATAAATCAAATGAAAATTCATTTGGTCTCTAATTAAAGTAAATAAAATGACATAACTAATTAGATCATAAGCTTTGCACAATTTGGTCTCTAATTGAGTCACGAACACGATTTATTTGTGCAATAGATGTTAAACTTGACGATGATGCCTCACCAGCTGGATGATTATTGTTTTCATCTATTATACTTCCATGCTCAGCTTGTATAAAGCGGTTATCAGTTGGAGAATTTTGCCTGATAAAATTATGGACAGCCACTGTTGCACAAACTATGCGGACTTGTGCTTGAAACTTGAATATGGGCATGTCTCTTAAGATTGCAAACCTATTCTTCCAAACCCCAAAAGTTCTTTCAATAGTGCATCTCAAACTTGAATGATAATAATTGAAGGCCTCATTCTCATTTCTAATTCCAGGCTGACGATTAAAGTCTAGAAGGTGATAGCGCTCACGTCTGTACGGGCCAAGGTATCCCACTTGTGATGAATAGCTAGCATCAACCAAATAAAATTTGCCTAGAAAATCATCAACCAAATAATGCAATTGAAGCTTAATTTTAAAATAATTGATTTGAAATTTACAGAAATATACCTTCAGGTGGATGAGGAAAATTCATGGATAGAGTTGAAATAGTAGATTGAAAGACACGAGCATCATGTGCACTACCTTCCCAGCCTGCCAACACGAACGTGAAGCACATATCCCAATCACATACGGCCATGACATTTTGACTTGGAAATTCCTTCCTCCCAATATATTTGTCTTGCCTAACTTGACTAACTTGACATTTTATATAGGTGCCACCAATTGCGCCGATTGCATCCGTAAAAAATGGAAAGTCTCGTGGATCATTTGCTATTTTTGGGTGGCAATAGGAGAATGCAGGATCAATAGGCCTGATATTTTCTCGAGATAAATTGAGGTAAGCATCCAACACTTTATGAAAATGCCGACTGACAGTTTCTCCTGAACGCTGAAACCTTTCTTGAATCATCCTATTACACTGACCATGCACAATTGTATTCAAGAACATGGCAACAGATTCATGGATACCTATGTACTTGGAATTTTGCAACCCATGTTAAACCAATTTAGAACATAACCGATGGAATATCTCTATTTCCATTCGAAACATTTCCTTAGACTGTCCTTCATGCGCGTGCAAAAGTTCTTGAACCCATAAATAACCTGTTTGTTCGCTAGTTCTGCATGGCTGTTTGCAAAGAAAAGGTGTCACATACTTACCCATTAACCCACTTAATTGTGATAATTATGTTGTGTGTTCATATAAGGCAGGAAGTAATTGAGACCGTTCGTTGTCCTAACCCTCGTCCCAACCCTTGCCCCAACCATCTGTTGAATCAAACATGAATTATGTTACCTGTGAGTAGTTAAATACTAAATGTGAGTACTATTTTCACAAAAAAAAGAAGAGAAAAGATAAGTGATAAATAGCCATTAAATTGTAACATAATAATTATACATAGTCATGAAACACAACATTAAACAAAGTCATGAAACACACATAATCATTAAACACATTGTCATGACACACAATAACCAAATACATTAAGATAGATAAACAGAAATCACAATAAGTCACTAGTCACACCTCAAGGATTCTTGGGTGCAGCATATGGTGGCGGGTTTACAGCATTGTGTTTCAACCAAGCTACTAATACCTCCCGATTTTCTCTCAAACCAGCACATATGTCCCTAAATGTCTTGTTTGCCAGTAGATTACAACATATGACACATAGATGAGTGTCATTGACAATTTCAGGCATACTCTGGTAAGCTCAATAGTGTTATCACTGTTGGAGATTTTGTTTATTGCCTCTGTCGTACTAATTGAAGCTTTCTCAATCGAACTCACTGAATCTGCTATTCTTCTTGTCACTGGCATCTTTTGCTTCTTGTACTTGTCCAACCCTTCACCTCTCTTCCTCTTCCCTTGACTCCCTAAGGCATTAGGTATAGTGGGTGCAGTGTTCGATGTGTTTGCAGTTAAACGTCCAAAAAGTTCGAAACTCCTGCACGGCGTCCAGTGTCGTCTTCCCTATCCCCTGAACCTTCTTGCCAATCCATTGTTGGTTGGTAGCCATTTGGCTGATCACCCCTCTGTGGTGCAGGCTTGGTCCAAGATGGTGCCCACATATTATCTCTTGATGCCATAGTGTCCTTGAATATAGTTTCCAATTCAGTGCGAAACCTTAACCCATAGTGCTTAAACTTTTCATATGCTGGATTTTCCTGCAAAGTCAAAATAAACTATAGTTAAATTGATTCCAAAAGTATAATACTACTTATAAATTAACATAAGCTACTTCATACCCGTAATTTCCTCTCCTACCACTCATCAGATGCCACCACCGTGTTCCTTCAGGGTCCCACCCTATGCCGGTCTCCTTAGCAATTAGTTTATCAAATGTCTTCCACTCTTTCCTCAAGTTATCTAATCTATTTTTCAGCTTTTTTTTTTATATCCTCTCCCTGTCTTTTCATTGAATTCTCTATGAATATTGTCCCAACCTGGTTTTGTAAATGAAGATCCTTGATGAAGCTTGTTATAAATATAATCAACACATATTTTGAGAAACACACCTGTGGTGCTCACATCCCAATGTGCGTTGCCTTTATCATTACTCATAGTTCTTGTTGAAATTACATATATATCAAACCTACAATTAGTCAAAAATCAAGCAGTATAATCAAACAGTATAGACCCACAATATATGTAAATCAAATCACAAAAAGTGAATTAAGCTCTACCTTACGTTACAAACATGCAGAAAAATAGGAACTTACCAATATTTGGATTCAGCACACAATTACACCACCCATTCTCAATCATGATACATGAAGCCCATAGCACCAAAAATACTCTTTTCCTTTAACTCAAAAATTCAAACCACGCAGTATAACATAATATCTAACAAAATTAAGGCCAAACTATTGTTCAATGCAGACAACCAAGGCAATTTCAACAGATATATAATTTCTTTTCCCCCTTGCTTCACACATTCATTCGTCCCCATCTTCCCATCACTTTTATTCATTCATTCATTAACTCTGATATGCTTCGGTCAACAAAATAAAATTCTCCGATCAACAAAAAGAGGAGTGAAAAAACCCATATGCTTCGGTCAAAACAGCATTCACGCGTCCATAAATCTTGCACTATAAACCAACACCATACACCATTAATTACAGCCATTCAGTTCACATTCACACATATGCACACACAAACCGATTCAGCACGAAGAAGGAGTAACAGCTTAAGGGAGTGCACATATTATTATTGTCTGTCAAACAACATCTACAATCAGAGAAGGAAGAAAAAAATGAAGCCTTCAGCGGTGGAGGGAGCTGAGAGTCGAACAGGGAAAAGAAGAAAAACACCCCAGCGATGGCACAAACAACCTTCAGCGGTGGAGGGAGCAAAGCCGTCGACACCCACGGACAGAGACGGCAAAGAGAGTGACGGATGGAGACGCAGCCACACCCAGATCTGTTTTGATGGAGGGGGAGTAGAGCTGTCGACACCCACAGACAGAGGCACCAGAGAGACCGACTGATGGAGACGCAGCTAAGACCGATGGACGGAGACGCCGGCAAGAGCAACGAAGAGAGAGTGCCGAGAGTGAGGGAGTTGAAACACAGCCGAATGCTATGCACGCCCTTCTCAGAAGTTACTTCTCATCTCCGTCAGGTAGAGATAGGCGAGTGCCAAGAGTGAGGGATCAGAGTGTTTTGCCTTGGGTCCGGTAGAGCTGAGGTTGGAATGGTGAAGCTTTGGAGAGAGGCAGCTGGGTCTGGTAGGATAGGTAAGAGAAATTAATATTCATTAATTTAACGGTATAATGCATTTTGAAATGGTGGAAAAGTTGCTTCTGGGAGTGTTGAGAAATAAGGAGCTTTTTTTCAGAAGTCAGGTTGAAAAGCTACCTATCCAAACAATCAATTTACCCTCAGAACACCCCCAACTGACTTATTACATTTTCCAAGACACATTTAGATCTCAAAACGGAGATCCAACCATACGCTAAATCCTATAACGGTAGATCTCATTTTCAAACGCCCCAAAAGCACCACAGCCCAGCATTGGAAACGGCCAATGGTTTGCCT